GCCCCGACCGGGGATTGCTGCCGCTTGACATTCCGGGCAGCAGAAAGTCTGGGGATCCTTCTGGAAATTCTCCGGCTTGTTCCCCCGCCCCCACCTCGCGCCCCGGGTTCCTCTGCAAGTTTCGCCGCCGCTGGAGCTGGAGAGCTGGGGGGACCGGCGCGAGCGCTGCCTTACGCGTTTGTTTGTAGGAAAAAGGAAGCGTGACAGGACCATGCTGCCCCTCAAAATCACAAGTAAGTTCTGCGCACAGGAAACGGGCTTCGCGTAACTTTTTGGTGGAAACGTTTGCGATTTCAACTTGAAGTGCATCGGCGCCGCTGGCTCTCCCGGCAGCGCTTGCCTTGGCGCGGGGAGCTCGTGGCCAGCGTGTCCCGCCTGCACCTGATTTTGACTCACTGCATTTCTGCTTTTCTCCTTAACCTTGCAGCATCGCGGAGCAAGTAGACCGATCGCCCCGACCATTCTTCTTCCTATTAATGTGCCTCATGCAGTAAAGATCCGAAAGGACTTTCAGTAAAACAGTTTCCTGCAGCCCGTGCCAACAGGGAAACCCCCCGAGTGGAGAGTTCCGCGTGACCGAAGACACCCCCTCGTCCAAGAATGCGAAGTGCACCCGGGCGCCCCGCTGGATTGTAGTTCTCCGGGCGGCTCTGGGGGCGCGCGGCGGACGCGGGCAGCGGACAGGATGGCGCACGCGGGGCGCACGGGCTACGACCACCGGGAGATCGTTCTCAAGTACATCCACTACAAGCTGGCGCAGCGCGGCTACGAGTGGGAGGCGGGCGACGTGAGCGCAGCGCCCCCCGAGCCGGGCGCCCCGTCCTCGCCGCCCGCCGCGCCCCGGGGCCCGGCCGTCCGGACCTCGCCTCCCTCGGCTGCCCCGGAAGCCCAGCCGGCGCCCAGCCCGGTGCCACCTGTGGTCCACCTGACCCTGCGCCAGGCCGGCGACGACTTCTCCAGGCGCTACCGCCGCGACTTCGCCGAGATGTCGAGCCAGCTTCACCTGACGCCGTTCACCGCGCGGGGACGCTTTGCCACTGTGGTCGAAGAGCTCTTCAGGGACGGGGTGAACTGGGGGCGCATTGTGGCCTTCTTTGAGTTCGGTGGGGTCATGTGCGTGGAGAGTGTCAACCGGGAGATGTCGCCCCTGGTGGACTACATCGCCCTCTGGATGACCGAGTACCTGAACCGGCACCTGCACGCCTGGATCCAGGACAATGGCGGCTGGGTAGGTACATGCGCGCCCGGAGGGGAGTCTGGGCTCCAGCGCTGGGGTCTCCCTAGGGGTTGGGCATGTGGGTGGACTGTGGGTCAGGGCGAAGCTGTGGAGCCAGGGTTCCTTCTTCCCTCCCTCTTCTGCCCTGAAACAGGGCTTCCCCCTGCTGCCCTCCCGTGACCATCCCTTCGGCCTAGGGCCTCCTTGTTTGCCAGCCATGGAAGCAGTAGTCCAGCCTTGACCAATCTTGTGATGAACGGGATGCTGACAAGTCTTCTCACCCAGTGGGCCAGCCATCCCCGAATCCCCTTCCCTGGTTCAGCTAGCTGATTGACAAGGACAGTTTTAGGGACCACTGGTGTCTACTTGACTAGAGCCCAAGAGGTGGGTCCCACCAATACATGAACAAGTGTCCCAGAGGAATTCTTTGTGGCCAAACTGTGAGACCCACACCGAAGACACTCCATAGAGCCCCCGTCCCCCAAAGAGGAAAGCTGTATCTGCCCATTCCCTGGAAGTGTTAACTGTGTTGATAAAGAAGCCCTTGACATTGCATTTGGAGCCTGCAACATGTGTTCCATTGGCCTTGACACACAGTGCACCTGGGAGTGTTAGCTGTGGATGCTTTAACTTATCGGTGGCTCTGCACATAGTGCTGTGAGCTGTGGTCCATCCCTGTACCTAGCGTTTGATCTAAAAGTGCCCAGGAATCTCAGAGTTTCCACCACCCATGCTGTTTTGTTGTTACCAAAGTTTGCTTCCAGGGAACCTACGAGAAGCATCCCAGAACGGGTTCTTAGCTGTAGATTCTTTCCTCCTGTGCTGTGAGTTCAAGTGACTGATAGTTGTGGGTTTGAAAACACCTGGAGGTGTTTGTGTTTTTGTTCCCACCCCCCACCTCACTGTGTTAGCCATGATGTCACAGCAGTCAGCTACTAACAGGAGGCAGTCTGCTTCTGTAAAGATGACCACCAGCCTGGGATACTCATCGGGTCTGCTCTCCTCCCTTGAGGGTCACTGTGAGTTGAACTCGACTGCAGGGCGTCTAGTTTGTTGGTGATGAGCTCAGGCTTCCATCCGTTGCTGTGCACTTGGACTTCGCTGGAGTTCGTTTAGGGGAGGGTGAAGACACTGAGACTAAAAGATTGTAATTAAAATCTACATCTTCTATCCAAACCTGTTAATTATGGGGAGGAAAGAGAGGAATGATTCTCGTCTGGGGTTATTTTAGGACTTTTGTTTTAATCTGCAGACTTATCTTTAGAAAAGGACGCAATTCATTGCTTCCTCTTGTATTCCCCAGGGGAGGATTACGAATGGGGTCATTGTATGGGACTCCATAGGAACAGAAAGTCTGGGAATGACTCTGGAGTGGATTGGAAGTAGAGAAACACATTGTACGTTTGACTACATCCATCTCACAAAGGGGCCCCACAGAGAAAAGGTTGAGAAAAGTTGATGGCTGACTTGATCACCTGAGTCTCTTTGACCAAAGTCGTCAAAAAATTTTTGATGTCATTGTTGAATGTTGAAAATGAATCAGTGTGTCCCGGTTCACACCTCTGGAATCCACGTGCTTTATTCCAGTCTTCAGGTCTGAAATCTAGAATCTTTGTCAGTTGTTTTCTGGTTTATGAAGATACCAAATCTGGAGGAATCCACTAAGGATGAAAAGAATATTTATATTCAGTGTATTCAGTTATATTCCGTATTCAAGTCCAGAAAGTGACTTTTTTTTTTAAACACCATCACCTCTTGAGGCGTTCAGATTTCCAGAAGAGATTGTTTTAAGAACAGAGCAAAACTTACTTAGCAGTGAAAAATTGTTTCCATTTTCTGTGCATCTGGAAGAAACCTAAGTGGTAACTATTAGCATTTATCAAGTGACTTTATAAAAAGGGGGAGGAGCTGGAGGCACAGAAGGAGCTTGATCTTTGTTGCTCAGTTGTAGTATAGAAACATCTCAACAGTTGAGGTTTCTTTTTAGTTGAAGGTTCACTTTCTCCTTCCAAAACGAGCTTTTACGGGAGAGTGTCTCTGTGGAGAGGCTCCACTTTATGATGCCAAACCACAATCACATACGTCCTATAGATCATGATAATTTTTTTAAAAAGAAAACCTCTTAGGGTGAAAATAAATCACAGAGAAGCACAGTTGGCTGATGATGAAATAGGCAGTCATTTCGGAAGAACACACAGATTGACAATAATCTAGGAAACGGTAAGATTGGGCCAGGAGGGGCGTGTCTGTCAAGAAATGTAATCACATGTGGACAGGCTGTGATGGGAGTACTTGTTCTAAATGATCTGCCGTTCATTTTAAATGTGCATATTTTTACAGATTTATTTTAGAAATCTGGCCCAGAGACAGATTTTCCACTACCTTTTCACTAGTCATGGTTGTCACTCCACTAACACGTTTGCATCTCACGGTGCAGATATGGTGTGGTAACACAGCAGTGGTGGCTGTTTGCAGGACTTGGTAACACAGCCTTGGTGGCTGTTTGCAGGACTTGGAGATGTAATGAGGAATGCATGAATAAATGTAAGGCTGGAAGGGGCCTCAGTCTTGGAGACACTTGTTTTCTTTGCTGCTCTTGCAAAGTTGGAGTCTCCTGAGGCTGAGAAAGACTGTCTGCATTCCATGTTCCCTCACAGAGAAAGCAGGACCTGGGGCTGGCAGGCATCTCCCAGAGGGTTTCAGCAGCCCGCAGATGAAGTAAAGACTGGACAGTGCGGTGTGCCATGGAGGGTCTCAGCAAGGCTCTGGGTGGTATCCAGAGAAAGGCAGGCCAGAGGGCACGTCTGAGGCTTCACTGCTCAGTGGGTGACCCATGGTGCAGCCGTAAAGCATCCCCCCTTTGGGAGCTTGTTCAAAATGCAGAGGCTCAGATCCCAACCCAAACCGCCTGAGTCAGCATCTGTGGTTAACGAGGTCCCTGGCTGATTGGTGCTCTGGTTGAGACCTTGGGGTCCTGGGGGCATCGTTTGGGGAGAATGACCACCTGGCGTGGAATCCTGTGGGTCTCCCTTTCCGGTAGCCCCACAGGTTCACCTGGAATCTAGACTCTTCCCAGCGGGCACCTGTGTCTGCTGACCTTAGGAAGACAGGCAGCCAGTCTAATTTGACTGTGCTTTGCTAATTGCCCTCCACAGAGTCTGCAGTCTAGTTCTTTAACAAACCGGAGGTCTGTGGAAGCAGCCACTTCTCCAAAAGCTCGTGCTCATTTCAAGTCTCAGTGTCACATTTTTGGTAATTCTCACAAGATTTCAAACATTCCCCAAATGCTGTCACACACTGTAGAACACATGATGGTAAAAGTGTTGACATGACTGATAGGCCCTAAAGGAGCAAAACCTTCACAGACCTTGCTTTCCTGCGGTGGTCGGGAACCGAACCTGCAGTATCTCTGAGATACACCTGTAGTTTGCAGTGAAGGTAAGGTGGGAGATAAATTACTCTGCATCCTGGCTTTAAAATCCGTGGGAGCCCTGGTGGTTTAGTGGGTACGGAATGGATGCTAACCAGAAAGGTGTGAATCTGTTAGAAGGTCCTGGGAGAAGGATGTGACAGTCTGCTTCTGGAAAGATCACAGCCTTGGGGTCTTCCTTTGATCTTCTGCCACAAGTGACCTTCTGCCCCAGGACAGCAGTTCAGTGAGTGCTCTCCTCTTAGGAGTCGAGATTGTCTAGAAGGTGGTGGGTTTATTTTCTGTTTTGGTTATGCAGTTTGTGTTGGTTATCAGTGGCCCAATTAAAATGAGCTAGTTTTCTGCTCCAATTAAAAGCCGGAGGTTTAGCTCTTTTAATCGCTCTGTTAGTTATTCTTTCTTTCCCCGATAACGTGCTTTGCTTCTGTGAACGAGCCTCGCAGCCCGAGACTGCTGCCGGACACAGGTCCCGGAGAGCCGAGGGCTGGGATGTGGCTCAGTTGGTGGTGAGCAGATATCTGGTGGCCTAGTGGGAAGGAGTTATGCTGTCAACACTGAGGAACATGGCTTGAATCCACCAGCCCCACAGGAGAAGGAGCGGCAGTCTCCTCCTGTGCAGTTTACAGCCTCTGAAAACCTGACGGAGGGTCAGCTGTGAGTCAGCTCCCGCTTGAAGGCACCTGTACCACCACCAGCACCAGTCTAAATGGGGCTCCGCCTGTTTGTTCGCCCTCATGTCCGAGGTGACAGGGCAGGTGGGCCGCGCAGAGCATGAGCTGACTGGGGGAGCTGGTGGATGCAACCTTATCTCGACTCCCTGTTTTATCTGTTGGTTTTGGTTGAGGAGGGTGGGTTGGGGTCTTCACCGCTGAAAGGCTTCACTTCCTTTGTGTTCGCTGCCGGCCAGCCCCGGGTCACCTGCTCTCCTCTCTGAGTTCAGTCTGCATTCAGCAGAACATTTGATTAACTGGGAAGCAGTGCCCTCCTCATGGCAGCATGCAGACCTCGTGAAAGAGCATCGTTTTTATCGAGGCTGAGTATCAGCTGCTTATGGCCAATGTTGGCAGCAAAATGATAGGATTAAAAATAGCCCGAAGACGATGGTGGCTTAAATAATACATTTAATGGCGAATTTTCCTTGGGAAAGAGCATCTTTCTGCCTGTTAAGCATCACATGACCCCTCTCAATAATTTATTTTGTAGGGGAAGAAAATACATTACTGCTCCTCGAGCGCTCGGTCATGTGCTGCCGAGTGATTACGTTTCTGGACCTCCTCAACATTTTCCGGTTCACTCAGCTCTCTTTGCTGGTTCAGGGCCTCAGCCACTGCTGAGGGCACGTTGCAAATGCAGATTTCTTTTGCACAGCCAGCCGCTCTGAGCTGGGCTTCCGAGCGAGACCCCACTGCCCTTTGGAGTGATCCTTGATCGACCTGGACGTTGCAGGTGGTTTCAGCATCATTAGCCTGTAAAGCCTCACCAGGTATCGGAAGGTGATGGGGCAGTAAAACCAAACTGAAACCGAGCCACTGAGAGTATTTCCTGATCCCAGACCTCCCCGCGTCTGTGGGCAGACGAACCT